TAGGCGAGACGCGGCAGGCGTGTAGTCATAAGTCAGAGTGACACATGATTCTGATATGTTTATGGTGTATTGAACGATATACGAATTGAATGGTCTGCTTTCCAGTTAATGTAATCTAATTTACTTTGGCGAGTTTTAAGCTTCATTGATAAGTCAAATAACGTCTGGAGAAGTTTCACTTTGTCGCTTTTGAAGAAACTGCAGAGGTCTGATAGGATAAAATATTCTGATTCAGCGTGAAAATTTGTATTCTTACTAATCCCATCAGTCACGTGAAGTCATAGAAAAATGTCGTTTGATAGTTCCATCAGGCACATGAAAAATGTCGTTTGATAGTTCCATCAGTCACGTGAAGTTATAGAAAAATGTCGTTTGATAGTTCCATCAGGCATGTGAAAAATGTCGTTTGATAGTTCCATCAGTCACGCGAAGTCATAGAAAAATGTCGTTTGATAGTTCCATCAGTGACGTGAAGTCATAGAAAAATGTCGTTTGATAGTTCCATCAGTCACGTGAAGTTATAGAAAAATGTCGTTTGATAGCTCCATTAGTCACGTGAAGTAAAAAAAATGTCGTTTGATAGTGCCATCAGTCATGTGAAGTAAACAAAAATGTCGTTTGATACTTCCATCAGTCACGTGAAGCCATAAAAAATGTCGTTTGATAATTCCATCAGCCACGTGAAGCCATAAAAAATGTCGTTTGATAATTCCATCAGTCACGTGAAGCCATAGAAAAATGTCGTTTGATACTTCCATCAGTCACGTGAAGTTATAGAAAAATGTCGTTTGATAGTTCCATCAGTCACGCGAAGTCATAGAAAAATGTCGTTTGATAGTTCCATCAGTCACGTGAAAAATGTCATTTGATAGTTCCATCAGTCACGTGAAGTTATAGAAAAATGTCGTTTGATAGCTCCATTAGTCACGTGAAGTAAAAAAAAATTCGTTTGATAGTGCCATCAGTCACGTGAAGTAAAAAAATGTCGTTTGATTGTTCCATCAGTCACGTGAAGCCATAAAAATGTCGTTTGATAATTCCATCAGCCACGTGAAGCCATAAAAAATGTCGTTTGATAATTCCATCAGTCACGTGAAGCCATAGAAAAATGTCGTTTGATACTTCCATCAGTCACGCGAAGTCATAGAAAAATGTCGTTTGATAGTTCCATCAGGCACGTGAAAAAAGTCGTTTGGTAGTTCCATCAGTCACGTGAAGTCATAGAAAAATGTCGTTTGATAGTTCCATCAGTCACGTGAAAAATGTCGTTTGATATTTCCATCAGTCACGTGAAGTTATAGAAAAATGTCGTTTGATAGCTCCATTAGTCACGTGAAGTAAAAAAAAATGTCGTTTGATAGTTCCATCAGTCACGTGAAGTAAACAAAAATGTCGTTTGATTGTTCCATCAGTCACGTGAAGCCATAAAAAATGTCGTTTGATAATTTCATCAGCCACGTGAAGCCATAAAAAATGTCGTTTGATAATTCCATCAGTCACGTGAAGCCATAGAAAAATGTCGTTTGATACTTCCATCAGTCACGTGAAGCCATAGAAAAATGTCGTTTGATAATTTCATCAGTCACGTGAAGCCATAGAAAATGTAGTTTGATAATTCCATCAGTCACATGAAGCCATAGAAAAATGCCGTTTGATAATTCCATCAGTCACGTGAAGCCATAGAAAAATGTCGTTTGATAGTTCCATCAGTCACGTGAAGTAAAGGAATGTCGTTTGATAGTGCCATCAGTCACGTGAAGTAAAAAAAAATGTCGTTTGATAGTTCCATCAGTCACGTGAAGCCATAAAAAATGTAGTTTGATAATTCCATCAGTCACATGAAGCCATAGAAAAATGCCGTTTGATAATTCCATCAGTCACGTGAAGCCATAGAAAAATGTCGTTTGATAATTCCATCAGTCACGTGAAGTAAAAAAATGTCGTTTGATAATTCCATCAGTCATGTGAAGTAAAGAAATGATATAATTCTATTAATGACGTGAAGTCATAAACTATGTCGTTTGATACCATCAGTGCTTAATTCATTGTTGACTCTGCTGCATCTAACTCTAAAAACTCTAAAAGGTGCAACCAACGTGTGTATCTTTTGTATAATCTTTAAGAGTTGCACCAGTCCTATGAGGTTATATCGAGATCAGGTTTGAAATGTTCCTCGAATCGCATGATCAGGGAAAATGTTGACAAACTAATTATAATGTCAAAGTCTGTAAACAAAACTAAGCGAATGTGTTGATTAGCATCAATAACGTTTCTGTCTTTTTACAGGAACACGTCACAATCAATGTGTGTGTAGGGAGTGAGTTGTTTTGCCTCTCATTCTTGGTTCATCCATCATGTCGTTGTAGAGATGAGTTGGGTACTTTGTTATCTTTAGTTGTTCTTACAAGCTTCAAAGGGACTATGTGTACCACGTTTTGAAGAAATTTAATTTGTGGACAATATTTATATTGGATTCCTGAACTTTCCAGGAATCCTTATAAACATTGTAATATTGCTGTCTCGTCTAGCTGTTCAACCAAAACTACTTACCACCATTTTTAGTACTGTCTAGTCTGGGTCACAGTCTTATTGTTATACTGTTCACTCAAGAATTCATAGCGAATTTCAAAGTATCTCACAGGATAGAGAGTATTCTACATATACCACCTCCCAGAAAAGCCTCGGGTCTGTAAACGTGAAAACCTAAGTGTTACTTTAATGTTGTCGTACGAATTCGACAGGGACAATGTCGGGAATAGCAACTTGTTAACAAAAAATAAATTGAAAATAAATGAAAACCTAAGACAATAGAGAAAACGTGAAGTTGCTACATAGAAGCCGATTGTTCTGATAGGGTACGTGTCTTCTTCATAGGCGACACTAACAGTGTAAACCACCGAGCAGTCCGATGCTGCCGTTCTCACAAGACTATAGGTAGAATGTATGATCGTCAGGACGATTTACTTTCGTTCTATCATATTAGATATGCTAAATGCCCGTTAATATGCCTTCTGGATATTTTTTGTAACTGTTCCTCTTTTTTTCTGAATTGACCTAAATGTGAATGGAAAGTATCGTCAAAGAAGCACTTTCGTGCTCCTGACTTTTTTAAATTACATAAATTCAAATTTTGTTGTTTTTCAATATTTCTGAACTATGACGGTTTTTTAGAAATGCCGGGGTTCTATTGTTGTTTAATGATACACAGTCAATCATATGTACGATTTCAATGTGCCTGATCATTTTCCTTCACAGAAATTGTATTGCATATGAAGTGCACGTGATGTCAGATATATGGTATTTATAAGTGCACGTGACGTATTTTTCCCTTTGTTAGATATATAATATAAGTGCACGTGATGCATTTTCCCCTTTGTCAGATATATAATATTTATAAGTGCACGTGATGCATTTTCCCCTTTGTCAGATATATAACATTTATAAGTGCAGGTGATGCATTTTCCCCTTTGTCAGATATATAATATTTATAAGTGCACGTGATGCATTTTTCCCTTTGTCAGATATATGATATTTATATGGACGTATGACATGTTTGCCCTTAGTATAGAAATTTTATGGCGGAAGTATTTTCTCTTTAATTCATGATTTTCATAATGATCTGCGATGCATTTTCCTCTAGCTCTATCGTGTTCATAGAGTTCATAGTCTTATCTTGAAACGTGTCTTTTGGAAACATAATTATTCTTTGATTATTAAAGCGCTACAAAATACAAGAAAACTCAACAGCATGTACAACACCTTTTTATATAGAAATCAAAGTTTGAATATTGAAAGTACATTAATCAGTTGTCGTAAAATTGTTCGATCTATCACCGTAACACCGGCTTAATATTATCACACTGGCTTTTATTTCATAACTGCTGATAAAAATTTGAATAAGAACATTTATCACACATTTAATTTTCCTTGAGAATTTTTGTTGTATGATATCACGTTATATCGCATCCAGCATTCTTAACCGCTCATGTGTTCGATATTCTCTCCTGTTGTAAATGCTCTGTTTGCAACTTTGATATGACTAAATTTCTCTTATCAGCTATACTATACACTGCTAACTTCTCTGTTCTAAAAAATGTCTGCTTAGCCTTAATTTCCTATGATGTATCCCCGACTGCAGCTCTGCGTCTCCAAAGCAGGAATAGAGAGACGTCCTTGTAAACTGTTCGTTCTAATACATAGATTTCCTTTTGCAAATGAAACTGCCGGATATACTGAAATATTATTGCTAATGTTCAAGATGTCATGCTGACAGTTTCGAAACCATTAACACCATATATGTATATATACAGAGATATAATTCTGGTTGCAAGGACCACTTTCCATAGCACCATTCCATACATCCTTATGGAGGGTTACGAATGAATCAAATTTCCCGGAACCCGTGCACAGTAATAGACATACGGCGATACTTCCTGTTCGTAGCGGAAGTGCCACAACCTCCATTAGTTTTTTTTTTCTATCTCGTTGTCGGAGACAATGCAACCGATTTGACTGTTCTGCTTGTCATGATATCGCGTGATCAAACAACGGCATGGTCTGCGACTGTTCATGTCCCTCGACTATCTCAAGAATGTGAGCATTACCCACTGCCTCACTTCCTTCGATGAAATACAGCCAAGACGTACTGGATGCCGAAAACACAAAAAGTTCCTTGATTAGAGCTATGTGGTCTGGACATTTTTGTGTCGATGAAATTATTCGATGAGACTTCTAAAGAAATTCATTTTATGTAAGACACCTCAGATCCTTACCCTGGATAACTTCTCCGAGCTGAGAAGACAACCAGAGTAAGGATCCCTTTGTGACGTCAAATTCCTTGATGTTAAGGTTGTCTCTCGCAGACCATGTGACTAGCACTTCAGTAATGAAGTTTGACGACATCAGCCAAAGATGCACACAGAGTTCGTCCTGTGCACCAGAGAGTGCTTTCCTCTGCCGGAACCGAAGACGTACTACAGAGTCCATCAATGGAGATATCCTTAACATACACCAATTACTAGTTCTGCCGTGTTACGGTTGCTGTCATAACACTTGATCTGGAAGAGGACCTCTTGCATATCCTCCTCCCCACACATCTCGTCAGTTGACTTCAGACTGCTTCCACTAATAGAGCGAGTAAGACTCGTTCGCTTTTGACTGGATGTGGAGCCCGAACTGTGAGCGAGAGGTTTGTTGTCTCCGAGCCGTTGAGCCCCCCTCGTAGGGAGCGGCCGACTGAGCGCCCGGCGACCCGCCCCAAGTCCGAGGGGGCCGACCGAAGTGTAGCTCGTCTCCGTGTGGCCATTTCTGTGCACGAATTTGTAGGAAAAATGATTCGGTCGATGTCGTGTAGGTTTGCGACAACACTGCCGCAATAATGTCTGTTTAAACGCTTGTCGAAACTTCAATGACATAATGCTATACAGAACAGGATTTATTGTTCCGCTGATAAAGTAACACACACCTGACAAATAAAATAGTTTCTTGTGAATCTTTAACAGAAATCCCGTCCATTTCGAGATGTAAATCGCCATAAGACGTTCGGCATGGAAAGGCGCCCAGCATACAAAAAACGCCACCACCACGGCCACTGAAATGATACAAGGAACAGCTAGAATTAGTTTTCATATTAAACACATACTGTCATCAACACAAAAAACAATCACCTTCAGTTTTAATACACGGAATACACAAATTAACTAGATATACAAAATATTTGCATTTATAATAACATATCGGGAAAAGCGGTGTGTTTTAAAAACCAAAAATTCTTATCATAGGTTACAGTCCGTGAAAAACTTCGATACATCGAAAAGTTCGCTTAATAAAACTTCGATTCATAAGGTAGTTAGTTTTAATAGTAATATATAGGAATAAAATTTGGGACCGGACAAAAACTTCGATACATCGAGGAATTCGAATCATCGAAGTTGGATTCATAGAAGTTTGACTGTATTTGGGATCTCAACACAGTATTTTATCAGTGTGTGTTTGTGTGAGCGATGTCCAGCCGTCTATGGACTCATCATGCTGAGAGTTCGAGATCCAAATAGAAAAAAAACCACTCGTTTCTATAAGTCACCATCTTTGTTCTGAAGATAAAGGTCTTGGTGTGTATAAAAAGAAAGTAACTACTCGTCAGTTCGATAAATCATTATACTTACAATCTTAATCAATTAGTTGTAAATATCACGTCAAGTAAGTGACCGACCTTCTAGATGTTTTTCAGAAAGTACATGGATGTTTTCAATTAGAAGATTGTAAGTTCTTAACTTGCCGTGTCAACAAGAATGAAGTGATCACGTGACGTTACGGCTACCAAGGAATGAAAGTAGTAACGGAGGACAAGTTAAAAGAAACACGTAAGCAACTAAGGAAAATGATACCGTGTCTTCATGATACTTTTTCCTACTGATTGTTCCTCACTTCCTATCTTTCATACTGAAAGCTAAATATTTCTCTAAATGTTACTAAATTACTGCGGTTCCGTGGAATATAACGATCAAGTGAGCACTGCCATACTTCAGAATCTTCTAATTCGTTTGTCAGTAATCGGGAAATTCGACTAAAAATAAATCTCATACAAACGTTCTCTGTAAAGTATACACATTTTTAATTCTATCTGTGAAGGAATTCAATGAAATAGTGAACTGACATTTGAGCCAGATTTGCAATCGATTACCGGACAAAAATCAAATATAAAATTCGAAGACAAATGATTTACTATGCCATGTCGTGAACAATGGTTTAGAAGGTGATGTAAATCAAGTGTTTATACAGACTCCAGTAAACAAAACACCGAACAAACATCAGGGATACTAGTAAGCTCGCCTCATGAATTATTTCTCGTGGTACTCTAGATATCACATTGTCTGATTGTTCAAAATGAGACAGAAAACAGATGCCCACAATGGCATATTCATTTACTGTGTTTACGTTTGATTATATCCTCGTTTTGAAATGCGTTTTCACTTAGTTCTCTGTTTCGTACTCAAATTAAAAAACGAAAATCGCTCATCATAAACACTGACGTGTCATGAGGTATGGAACTTATTCAACAAAAAGCAACAGCAACGTGTCTAAACTTATATCAGAGAAATGTAGAAATATTCATTTGAAAACCTATAGGAGTATTATTTGATCTCATCTAATGTGTGTATGACTTTTGGCGTCTCTAAGATTAAGGATGTCTAATCGTGTAATACAACCGTTGAAACATTCCGCTCCATTCTCCTCAGGCTTCGTGAATCTGGAACTCGGATGTTCTAGTTTTCTCTCGTCAAACTCACTGGTGTTAAACTGGTCAGAAAATTATCTTTAACCAATCGGAACTTAGATTGAAACCTTTGTTCTGTCATGTGTTTTTTTCTCTAAACATTAAAGTAAATTTTCACAGATGCATATCTCCGCTCCGTGACCCAACAGTGAATTACATTTAACCACCAGTGTGAAGTTAATACTGATACACATGGATTTAATCTGAGAACGTACATTACACATGTACAACAAAAGGTTTACATTGGCACAATTGTTAGCAAAGGTTTAACGAGACAAGGAATCGTGATTGTTGTAATTGTAGCTGAATGATAATTTCTGAAATAATCTGCAAAACGTGCTTGTTCGGATATATTTCTGTTGAAAGTCAAAGAAAAGTGTAGATAAGAGCCATAAGTTAACACTTGAAGAGTATATTAGTAACACTTGTATAACTGTAAATCACTTAGCCTGATATAAAACAGGTAAAAATGCTATCCAGCACGGAGCCGTTACCATTCTAAAGCAAATACCAGTGGTTAGAGAATACCGGTGGCTAGAGACCACATACCAGTGGTTAGTGATTATATATCAGTGGTTAGAGATTACATACCAATGGTTAGAGATTGCATACCAGTGGTTAGAGATTACATACCAATGGTTAGATATTATATATCAGTGGTTAGAGATTACATACCAATGGTTAGATATTATATATCAGGGGTTAGAGATTACATACCAATGGTTAGATATTATATATCAGTGGTTAGAGATTACATACCAGTGGTTAGAGATTACATACCAGTGGTAAGAAATTAAATACCAGTGGTTAGAAATTATATATCAGTGGTTAGAGATTACATACCAATGGTTAGAGATTGCATACCAATGGTTAGATATTATATACCAGTGGTTAGAGATTACATACCAGTGGTTAGAGATTACATACCAGTGGTAAGAAATTAAATACCAGTGGTTAGAAATTATATACCAGTGGTAAAAGATTAAATACCAGTGGTTAGAGATTATATAAAGCCGATACTATTATGTTGTATATACAACTCTAGCAAATACCGATGGCTAGAGAGTTTAATGTCATGTTACCATTCTTTAGTAAATGTATATGTATAGAAGGTAGAGTGAGGTGTTATCATTCTATAGTGAATGCCGTTGGTTAGAGAGTAGGCTGCTTTTCCCGATAGTTAAAGATACCCTATCTCTCCAAGGATCACAGAGATCGTATTCAGCTCGAAAGATAGCCATTTTATGACGTAAGCTAGTCGGAAATACAAACACTATTAGTCTATAACATCATGGTTGTTATAAGTGGGAAAACAACATTACCAATACATTATGTATATTTATACTTTGTATGAAACACTCTGTGTCCATAACATTGCGGATATTACAATAAGCAACATCTTGGGCTTCTTTCATGACAAACGTAATGATGTTAGCCGGGAAAACATCCAGACTTCATAACAGATTTAAAACACGACAAAAATGATAATATCGAAGATAAGTGTTACTGTCATGGTCACATTCGCACGACAACTTACTCAAGCGCCGTTCCAACATGTCAATATCATTTGAAAACGATGTCAGATACTGATATTGGCGAGGTATCGGTAGAAGATGTAATCGTTTGGGACGAATATGGACTACTGTATACATATATCTGGATTTGTTTTATTTGTCTGTAATATACATTGGCTTGTCAATATATCCAGTGCTTGATTAGCACGTACCATGCTGACTATGTAGATAAGAATGAAAAAATCTGACAATCGATCTATACCTCTGCAAGTTATATATCTAAAAAAAGCACTTCTGATTTTTTTTTTTATTTACTGGTGGTAGACATAACTGAGGGAGGTTTAGTTCTCGAGGTTTGACGTAACCTGTGTGTCACGTTTTTAAAAAAAAAACATCGACTTGACGCTTTTCTGAAATTATCATTTATTTGAAAATTACGAAAGTTATAAAATTATGGGGAAAGCGACCTTCATATCCAGATTTTGACATTTCTTTCAAGTTTGGTTTACCTCAGTCGCTTCCTAGGCTTAACAATAGGCCATTAACACCATTTACGAGTCCTAGAAGGACGGGACATTTATAATAATGCGATTAAGGTTTTTTTTTTTTTTTTACTTTACTGTATCTAATTCTAAATTTGTTTATGAAAGATGCATTTTAGATTAAAAAGAGAGACACAAATCGCTATAGGCAACCGACACAACACTGACATGAAAGTAAGATGTCCATCATATCATGAACGTCATTGTTTAATTACAAATATATTGATTTAACAAATATATGGCTATATGCCATGCAATAATTTTATTATTATTAAAACATATATTACCTACAATCAGAAGAGCTTATTTATACAGGAATTGTTATCGTTATATGTTTTGTATAGCACTATGGTAGCAATATCACCAAGGTATAATGTATGTTATTGAAAAATATTTATTTTTTTTGTTGCCATTGCTGGGTGACATACTATTTATCTGTGCCTACACTGTATTTATAACCACTGTATTCTACCATACAACTCATTGTTTAAATAACGCTTCGGTGCAAAATGTAAACTGAAAATATAAGTTGTCTAGTATAGCGCCATAGACTCCGGACGTCTCAGAGATATCGATTATGTTGCGTCCCGAAGAAGAATTTACAATTTACTTAGTACATTCACGTACTATAAAGCAAAATTAGAACGTTCCAGTGACTATGCATGTTCTCATTTTATTTTCTAAGAGATGAAATCTGAAGTGCAATTCCTTTATGATTCATCAACAGAGATATAGAGAGACATCTATCGGCAAAAGTCATTAAAGGGAGATAATAAGTCAGAAACGACTGCATCATCTGGTAGATACTATTTTCTTAAACAGAAAATAATTAATAGATGTCGGTATTGGTGGAATATGTTTTCTATCATAGTGCTTGTTATTAGCTTAAAAGATGTTCCGTGATATGTTTAAGTGGTAAACTTTGCCAATAACACGCTAGAAATGTTAATGATGAATCACACCAGTTAGAATAATACCTTGATCGCGAGAAAAAAATATACATGGCAACTACACAAACAGTTCAAGTGTTTTCGATAAAGGAATCGCTATGTTATCTACGAAAGCTGTAGTGTTTTGTTTACATCATGCATGTATCTCGCGGTAAGACATATGTTTCCTTCGAGAAATACATCACTCAAAGGGCAAGTGGTTCATTTAAGTCGACTCTGTACACAGAAGAAATAGCGACAGAAGCAACTGTAGTATATATAGATAGATAGTCGGAATGTCGCTATATCGATACAAATACCTCCTCGCT